GTTGAATGTCTTTAAAATCTATACGTTCTGTTTTTTTTTTCCTAGTTAGACAAAGACTTAGACAAGTACACAAGGGAAAAAGATCTTACATTAGTATCATCTACTGAGTAGACCATAATACCCCTTTTTATTATTGGTTCCTTTTCTTTTGTATTTATGTTTTTTTTTTTATCGTATTTTTTTAAGTTCTATTCTTATTTTTTCAAAATTCTAGCTTTAGATTTATTTCCTAATACTAATTAACATTATGAGCTTACCTTAATGCTCGTATCTGTTTTTTTTTTTTTTTTTCATTCATTTTTTAAGTTCTATTATTATTTTTATTGTGACATTTAAAATAAATGGAAAAAGACTATAATGCCCTCTTTATTGAGTTTTCTTTTTGAAATTCTATTATTATTTTTTTTCCTGTTTATTTTAATTAGTTATATCATCATTTGTCATAAATCCTAGCTAGCTTTAGATTTTTTTCCCAATACTAAGATAGGCTTCCAATAGTTCCATAAATTGTCCCATCTAATCAATTGCGATCAATCTAGAAAGTTTTCACAGGTGGAAACATGATAACATCAAGCATACATCCTCTGAATTGGCCCAGCTGAAAATTCAATTAAACAAGTTTGAAACATTGCCCAAATCTTTGTGTTAAAGAACCATTCAGTTGGTTCTGAGATAGAACCAATACTTCCATGAAAAGAATCTTATAATGTCAGGGAATGAACCATATACTTGAATTGACTCAAAAAGCAGTCCATTAAGATCTTTGCTACGCAAGTCCAGGGCTCGTAAGCTGCATACTGTCTTAGGCTAGCAACATAAATTCTCTCTATTTTTTATCCATGCTTCTAAAGCTTCTAACTACATATGCTTTCAAGAACCTTTAGCATGTGTGCGTCAAATCGAATGCAAACGCTTCATCAGTTCTGTTAATTCATAAATGAAGATGAAATGAAGGGGAAAGCTGAAAGAATGTTCAAACTTGAAGAGGCTTATAGAGAAAAAAATAAAGTTTTTGGATTGCATTGAGATGTATCACACAATTTATGGCGTACCATAAATATTTACGCTGGAATATGGTGCAAGACCATGCAGGCCTAATTTAGGTGTGCTAGTAGCCCAGTTTCTGGCCCATGTGTTCAGCTCACAAAAGCCCGAGTTTGGCTTTGCTAAACGAGCAAATTGTATATTATTACCTCTGTTTTCAATAAATGAATTAATTAGTATCTTTTATTTCAAAAATAATTATTAATTTTCTTAATCATTATTTACTATGATTAGTTTAAATAATTTACTTCAACTTTTTTTCATCCATTCTTTCATATTCTTTTACTTATTTTTTCTTTTTTCTATTTCTTGAAACAAAAAATCAAAATAAATTAAAAAAATGAAAAATAATTAAATTACAAGAAAATTTTAAAAAATATAAGAATTTTATAATTAATTTTTGAAACAAGAAACACTAATTTATTTGTTTCTAAAAACTAGAGAGATTAATTTATAATTTACTCTTTTTAAACTAATAATTAAGTTTTTTCTTTTTCTCTTTTTTTTCTTGATAAAGAACAAAATAAAGATAGAATGAATTTATAGTACCGATTAACTGGTGAATTATTATCGTTATTATTATTATTTTATAGTACTGGATGAGTTTGAAGTTAAGGAAGCTAGCTAGGGTGAAGAAAATTGAAAGAATGTTTCCATTTGAACAGCTTGGTTGAGACAAATTAATACAAATTAAGTTTTGGGGCTACATAAGAATATACTAGATAAATTTCTCAAAATTGTTCAAAATACTTTAAAAATTTTTTTTACAAAATAAAGATTTAAAATTTTTAGAAAATCAAAAATTATTTTCTTGTATAGCTCAATGCTAGTTGTAGAATGAAAAATATAATTATGTCAATTTAGAAAATTAAATATTTTTTTTTGATAAAAAGACATATTGAAGAATTATATATTATACAAAGATATAAATGACGTAATTAAAAACATAAGATAAATTAGAAATTTAATCAATCATGTAAGGATACATTGAGCCATTTACGTTTTCTTTTTCCCTCTCCATTTATGCCTCTAGATGAATTTGTGGTTGTGGGCACCAGCATTAGTTTAGGTTGTATGTAACAACAATAAACACTTAATTATAAAGCCATGTCGGCCAAAAAAAATTAATTAGCATTTGATTGGTGAAAAAGTCAGAGCCCAAATATTAGCATTTAGAATCAAATCTAATACGGTAAAAATCCTCTATTAAAATAGACAGTACCTAGGGTTTGTACTTTGTACTTCAATTATATATATAAAAGACTTGCATAGACCTTGTGTTTAGAAATGTGACAAACTGGGCTCTCTACAAGATAATCCAAAGAACTTTTCACTAACCACTCCCTGTTATCGTGCAAATTGGGGCTGAATTTTCTAATGTGCTTATTAATGCATAAGAGTTAGATAATTAAGACTAAGTTTCATTAAAAAAATTACAACTTTATATATTATTTATTTAATATTTAATTATTCAATATGAGATATATTTTTTAACACTCTCCTTCATTTGCAGTCTATCTTTTGGATCTATCAAGTGGCTTGAGTTCTAGGATATCTATTGATCGTTAGAATTCTTTGAAACTCGATACCATATAAAATTATATTATTGAGATTGTGTTTCATTCAAAAAATTTAAAATCTTTTGGTGAGTGGCACATATGAAGTGTTACAACTTGTTGCCCTACTTCTTTAATTTAGAGACACTACTAAAAGACTTTATCAGCTCAACGAATAAAGTCTTTTACAAAGACCATTATGTATACTAGTTACAAGGAGTAAGATATAAGCTAAGGAACTAAACGATAACTATAGAAAGTATAATGCTAGTAAACCTCCACTAGTCACTGGAAGTAAAATGCTAGTAAACCTCTACTAGGTACAAAAAATCATTATCCTTATCCCTTCTTGCAAGTTGCGCAGGATCAGAATGGACGCGCAACGTGGAATATAGTTTATGGAACGAAGCTTTGAATAGCAGTTTTGTAAGAATGTTTGCAATTTGATCATTGGTAGGCAAATAGTAGACCTGTAGCTGACCATTATGAACTTTATCATGCACAAAATGGAAATCAATTTCCAAGTGCTTGTACCTCAAATGAAAAATGGGTATTGTCGTGAGGTATGTAGCCGACACATTATCACACCAAATCTTTGGTGGTCGGATAGTAGATATACCAATCTCCTTCAGAAGAGATTCAATCCATTCAACCTCAAAGCAAGCTGTAGCCAGAGCACGAGATTCTGCTTCAGTGGACGATCGAGCAACGGTGCATTGTTTCCTAGACCACCAAGAAATCAAATTCTGACTAAGATAAATGGCATAGTCGGATGTGCTTATGTGATCGTCAATGTCCCCACCCCAATCAGAATCTGTATAGGCATTAATAAAAAAATCAGAGGATTTTTGAAGCAATAAACCATGTGCCTTTGTGGCCTGAAGGAACCACAGGATTCTCTTCAAGGCAATCCAATGAGCTTCTGAGGGTGAGTGCATGCACTGTGCTGTTTTGTTGACAAATTAAGCGATGTCTGGGCGATTGATGCCAAGATATTACAAGCCACCCACTAGACTGCGATAGAGAGTTGGGTCTAAAAACATGGCACCACTTACTGTTTGTAACTTAGTGGTAGGACAAGCAGGGGTGCTAAGACCATTGGCCTGATGCATATTAGCTCTTAGCAGTAGTTCATTGGCATACTTGTTTTGATGAAGAAACAAGTCAGTGGCTCCCCATTCAGCCTCTATCCCCAAAAAGTATCAAAGCTTTCCAAGATGTTTCACTGGGCAACTTGAATGCAGAGAATTAATTAGAAAAGATACCAAAGTTTCATTATTGCCAGTAGCAACCAAATCATCAACATAAATTAGACAAAAAGTGATGTCCCTCCTAGATGGTCTAAAAAGAGAGATACATCAGTTTGAGAGCCTTTGAAGCCCAGAGACAGCAACTTGTATGTGAGGCACTTAAACCATTGACAAGTGCTTGTTTTAAGCCATAAATAGGGATGACAATGGATTGGGTACCCGGCTCATTAAGCCAATTCCATATCCTACCCACTAAAAAATACTCATTATTTTACTCATATTTAGCTCGTTACCCGTTAAGATATTTTTAAAGCATAATTAACAGGCGGGCCGTGCGGGGTATCTATTTTGTACCCGGCCCACTGCCATCCCTAGCCATAGAGGGACTTCTTGAGCCTGCCAACATGCGTTGGCCTCTGATGGTCAACAAAGCTTTCCAATATGTTTCACTGGGAAACTTGAATGCAGAGCATCAATCAGGGAAGATGCCGAAGTTTCATTGCTGTCAGTAATAACCAAGTCATCAAAATAAATTAGACAAAAAGTGATGTCCTTCCCAGATGGTCTAAAAAAGAGAGATACATCAGTTTGGGAGCCTTTGAAGCCCAGAGACAGTAGCAGCTTGTCTGTGAGGCACTTAAACAATTGACGAGTGCCTGTTTTAAGCCACAGAGGGACTTCTTGAGCCTGCAAACATGCGTTGGTCTCTGATGATCAACAAAGCCTTTCGGCTGGGACATGTAAACCACTTCATCTAGTGGACCATGAAGGAAAGCATTCGATATATCTAATTGCTCAACCATCCAACTCAAAGACACTGCTATGGAGAGGATCAGACGCAAAGCAACATGCTTGGTAACAAGACTGTAAGTATCAGTGAAATCAACACCAGGACGCTGATTGAACCCTTTTGTGATCAATCTTGTTTTGTATTGATCAATAGACCCATCTGAGTTTGTCTTCACTTTGTAAACCCATTTATTGTCAATGACGTTATATTTGGGTTGACAGGGGACAAGCTCCCATGTATCATTGGCAAGCAGTGCCTGTAGTTCACTTGCCATGGCATTACACCACTATGGATCTGAGCTAACTTGTGAATATGAAGATGGAGCAGCTGGAGGAACCACGGTGGAGAATGTGCGAGGCTTTAGGTGACCTGTTTTAGCACGGGTGACCATGGGATGCTTAGGAGCTGCAGCTGGTGGTGGGTCGGATCTAGCAAGCTCCAGGATAGAAAAAGCAGCGGCAGTGGCAGGGGTTGTGGATGGAGGGCGTGAGAGTTGGCTTCGGGTAGGGTGACATAGCATCGGATGGAGGTGGAGCAGGTGGCTTTGGAGTAGGATTTGAGGTGTGGTGTGCTGACATTTGTGGAGGCTGGGTGCGGGAGAGATGAAGAAGAAAAGGAGAGATGCGTGGGTGGGATTTGATGACTGGTTAGATCTATTTCGAATGTCAGAGGAGAAGAGGTATTTGTTTGTGTGATATTGGTATCAGGTGGAGTAGTAGATGTCGGGCTTGGACTTGTTGGGCCAAGTGGAAGTTTTTTGGGCTGCTTATTTAAGAAGTGAGGGCTGTTGGGCTTGGGTGGGCTTGGACTTGTTGGGCTACAGTGTTATAATTGAGAAAGGAAGATGGAACTGGTATAGCATTATAGTATCTGATTCCTAGCTGGCAGATACGTATCTTTAGAATTCTATTGAGGAGACCATAATACCCCTTTTTATTGGTTCTTTTTCTTTTGTATTTATATTTTTTTATCGTATAATAAATTAATAAAAGCCACAAAATTTAATTTTTTTTGATAAGTTAGAAATATTTAACTGACTTGACTTAACTTTCACTAGGAATTTTCTATGGGCATTACTAAATTTATCATCAAAACTGTTATTTCCATCATTTTTTTAAAATCACTAATTAATACACCGCCTTCATTAATATTTTTTACTATATTATATTTAAATATGTATTATATTAAATGTTTAAAATATTAAAAAATTAAATGTTTTTGAAAGCAAAAATAAAAAAAATCCAAAAAACAAAAATATTGGACATTTTAAATATTTTATATAAACATATTTAATTATGATATAGAAACAAACATGAATAGAAATGTATATTAATAACCACCTTAAGGTATGTGATTTACCAAAAAGGGGATTGTCTTTTAGTCAAGAGCAAAATTTAATTCTCACTATCTACGGATAATTAATTAGTCATAATTATTCGTCAATGATATCAGATTTGGATTCATTTAGTCTAAAAAAGAGTCTATTAGTCCATAAAAAACTAAGCATGTTATATAAAAAGCAATGTAAAGTTCTCTTTGTAATAAGTTTACTTCATTATAAGGATGCCAGGGATGAGAAAAGTCCTGCACCTGTAGCTCCGACTGCAGCTGATTTTGCCACTGGAAATAAGCAATTATTTTGCGAAGCTTTCTTTATAACTCTAGTAGATTTCAGTTATTTTACTTAACAAGTATATTTTCACATGCTTAAAAAGAAAGCCAAAAACAATATGAACATAACCTACATCAAATTACAATTATTTTTCAAATTGACAATTGAAGAGATTAGTCAAACCCCTCAAATTAACTGTGTGCTAAAACAGATCTTCCAAAGTTATTGTGGAGAATGGCTTCGGCAATGGAGACCACCGAGTTGTAAGCTCTAAAGAAACTTTTCCCATTGTCGGTCGAGATTGAGGATTGGGGTGCAAGCATGCAATTGCTATTTTTGTGACATGTACCACGCCTTCAGCAACTTGATTTTTAGGAATTCTGATACGTTGGTCAAGCACATCTTTTAACAGTGTCTGCAGATCGACTGGTGGTAATCGCGATGATGATGATGGAAGTGTTGAGATGAGATCACCTGGATGCCTTCCCATCATCACTTCCATTGTCACCACTCCAAAACTGTAGACATCACATTTTTGGTTCACTTCCATTGTGTAAGCTAGCTCTGTAAAAGAATATTGATTATGCTTTGTTTTCATTGACAAAGTTGATAGAAAACGAATCAATTGAAAGGAATATAATGTTGTAACAAGGCTATGCACCTGGAGCGGTATATCCAAAAGTACCAGCAAATGAGGTCCAATTGGATGAGTCAGGCATCAATAGCCTAGCAGTGCCAAAATCGGAGACGTGTGCTTCGTATTCCAAATCCAAAAGAACATTATTGCTCGTAATGTCTCGATGAATGATTGGAGGAGAGCAATCATGGTGTAGATAGGATAAAGCAGCAGTCACCCCCTTAACAACATTTAGCCTTTTCATCCAATCCAACTCCATTGCTTGTTCCTTACTCGTTAAAATCTTTGTCAAACTTCCTCTTTCTACGAACTCATAAACCAAAAAAGAGTGCTTTGCATGTGAACAAAAACCATAAAGCTTCACAATATTTCGATGTCGAATATTCGCTAGCATACAAACCTCCTTTTCGAAAGCTTTAGAATTGGTCAACTTGTCTGTTTGTGATGAGTGAAGTTTCTTCACTGCAACAACCTGTCCTGTTGACACTACTGCTTTATAAACCGTTCCATATCCTCCTTCGCCAATGCAGTGGTTAGAGTTGAATTCCTCAGTAGCTTCAATGATATTTTCGTACAGCATCTTCCCATCATGGCCCAATATCGTGAATATATCTCGAAGTTGTTCATCCCTTGGCTCAGCTTTTCCTTTCCTAGCTCTTTGACAGAGAATGAAGAAAGCTCCGGTCACAACAAATACTAGAAGTAGGCTTCCTAGAGGGAGTACAATCAGAATCACAAGTTTATGACCCTTACTCTCAACACTTCTACTGCTTTCGGGAAGACTGCAAGCTTTTAGACTACTAGCATTGCCACATAAACCCACGTTATTTCTGTATGCCTCAAATGGAGCATTGCTGAAGGCTTTAATGTTAGGGAGAGGGCCCTCGAACTCATTGTAGGATATGTCTACAGTAGTCAAGCTAACCAAATCTTTGAAAGAGCTTTGGATCAAACCAGAAAGCATGTTGTGAGAGACATTCAACTTTTCTAACATTTGAAGTTGCCCAAGCTGCAATGGTATCTCTCCTTCCAGAAAATTGCCACTAAGATCAAGATCTCGAAGAGAATCTAGAAAGCCTATCTCGTATGGAATGCTTTTTGTAAATTTATTACTGCTGAGGTTCAGCAACAATAAATATGAGCACTCCCCAAGCTGTTTCGGGATTGGTCCACTTAGATTATTTGATGCTAAATTAAGGATAGCGAGAGTAGAAAGCATATTGATTTCTAAGGGAATGGGGCCTGAAAGATGGTTGTTGTTAAGAGTAAGGTTGTACAACAACTTCAACTCTCCCAATTCTTTAGGGATTGTCCCTTTTAGGTGATTTGATGACAGGTCAATCAAGTGTAATTGTGTAGCCTTCCTAAGCTCTGAAGGTATCACACCAGATATATTATTATTTGAGATTTTAAGACTTGTCATGTTATGGAAACCTCCCCATTTTAAAGAAAGTTCACCATAAAAATTATTGTGACTCAAATCAATATAATCTAGATGTGGATAGATACCCAAATTATCAGAAATATTTCCGGTCAATTGATTCCAATCAAGCCTTACTCGATATAAACTAGTACAGTTTCTTAAGCTTTTTGGGATGGAACCTGAGAAATAATTATAGCTTGCAGTGAAGTTTTCAAGTAATCCTCCAAGGCACAAATTTGGTGGCAAAGGGCCAGTGAATTCATTGCCATACAAATCCAAAAACTTCAAATGAGTGAGATTGTTCATCTCTAGAGGTAAGGGACCATGAAGTTTGTTTTCAGACATTCCTAAATCCACAAGGGATTTAAGTTGTCCCAATTCTGAAGGAATATATCCTGATATATTATTTCGATTGAGATTCAGCATAGTGAGCATAGTGATGTTTCCAACAGAAGAAGGAATGGGCCCAGAGAGCTGGTTGTCAGAAAGTGCAAGAAGAGATAAGTTTGTCAAGTTTCCGATAGCATTGGGGATTTTACCAGTTAAAATATTGTTTGACAAATCAAGATTATTAAGAAACCGTAACAACACAATTTCTTGAGGAATGAAACCAGAGAGTTTGTTACCCCAAAGATAGAGATCGGATAGGTTTCTCAAGTTTCCAATCGAATTGGGAATTCTACCAGTTAAAACATTGCGTGACAAGCCAAGTTTATTGAGAGACTGTAATGACCCAATTTCTTGAGGAATGATACCGGTTAGATTATTTGCACACAGGGATAAAAAGTTGAGATTGGTCAACAAACCTATTTGAAATGGAATATTTCCCGTGAGATCATTCCTACAAAAGCTCAAATCTCTAATTTTGGATAGGTTACTAATGTGTGGTGGAATGGTTCCATAAAGTGAATTGTTCCAAAGATTGAGAGTGGAAAGATTAGATAAGGATGAGAAGTTGAAACCATGAAGCGTACCTCTCAAACCAAAATTTCGAAGGCTCAAATTGGTGATGCTTCCGGAATTGTCACAACTGATCCCAATCCAATTGATGCAGGGACTGCTGCCGACCCAAGAAGACAGGAGAGATTGGCTTTGGTTGTCAAGACTTGCTTTCCAGTTGAGAAGAGCCTCAGCTTCTTGATTATTGCTAGCTTGAGCACCTTTGTATTTGGCAGCATTAGTACCAAATACCGAAGTTGCAGAGGAAGTATAAGCAAAAGCAAAGAAAGAAGAAAAGGAGAAAAGGAGAAGGAGAAACATTGAGAATGAATTGTGTGGTAAGGACGTGATATCCATTTGAAAGGGATATTGTGTATGGTTTGGTAAATGTGGAGGATGAAGATCCTATCTAGGCGACAAGTAGAGGTATTTATAGGATAGGATGGAAAACATTATCATATTTTCCTTTCCTCAGTTACAAATGGTATGAGACTCTGGAAGGCAAAATGGTTAGGATGGGACAATATAGAGGTCTCTCAAGTCCACCCGATTTTCCTCATGAATTGAGGGTTTTGACTGAGCAATCTGTTCTTCAGGTGCTACTCTACAATTTACATTAGAATCTTGAAAAACTCAGAAAATGGTTATGTAATTTTTATTTAAATAATTTAGTTGAAGAATTCAATTCATGGTGTGGCACACTAGACATTTGGCAAGCCATCTCTTTCTCTCTTTTACAAAGTATGAATGATTCATAACCAAATTTGGTGTTGAATTCAATTCATCAACACCTACATACCAATTCAATCTCTCATTTTTAGCGTTTTCTTCCTTTTTAACGTAATGTTCTCAACATAATTTTTTTTTAAAAAATAAAAATAAAAATTAAACACTGTTTTTTGCTTTTGGTTTCTGTTAAATAATGGTAATTATTAGAAAGGCTTTCCTCTTTAATTATAACACTCTGGTTTCAATATATAGTTTCTGTTGCAGTCGTTTTTCTTGTTTCTTGCTGAACCATCCCGATTTGGTCTACTGGTTTCAATATATAACTTTCTTGCTGAGATAGGATTGAATAACAACGAAACCAAATAGGATTGAAAGTTACCTTCGTTAAACTACTCGTTAGGACTCTAATTTACGATATCAGA